ACTTGAGGTGGTTATTCTTAACATCACTCAGGTTTTATGAACTTGTTAGGGAAAATCTGCGGCTTTATGGGTGGTTTTGCGCCGCTTTCGTACTTTTACGGTGCTTACGTCTCTTAGTGCAGGTGTCACAAACAGACCTTTCCAAGTAAATGAAGTCAACCGACTGCTCTTGACTTTTCTCCTGGAGACCGCGGAGCTGGGACAGGGATCAGTCCTCGGTGACTGCGGTGATTAAAGTTTTTATGTAGTTGACAGAGGAGTTAGAGAATGCCAACGGACATTTAGATTAATGATGGCATCCTTGAGGCCAGTATTATGCCACTCTGAATGAGGACTGAAGAGACAGAGGGATGACATTTTTAGGGGCCTGGTACTTATGAACACATTTGTGTGTATTTGCAAGGCAATTGCGTGCCAAGAGAACCAGACCCACACTGTACACATGCATACTCTTCTCAAGGACTCCACCATAACACACTCTTCTGTGGCTGCTGTTGTATTCTGTAAGTGTGTGTATATGTGTGTGGTGAGTGCCATAGTTGGCTGGTGGGCCAGTGTTTGATGATGAAGTCATCAGTTTAAGTAAACTCCAGATGGCCAGTCAGAAAGTAAAACAAGTGCCATCTGCTTAGATTCAACTGCTGCTCAACTTCACCCCTCTCCGTCCCTCTGCCTCCCCTCCTCTCTGGGTTGGCACAGCTAAGGACCAGAGTGCTCAGAACATTAATGCCATTAGTGAAATGTTTCAGAAGAGGCAGCCAAGCACAATGCATTACACTAGCACTACACTACCACCAAGGGCTACGCTCTCTGCTGGCTTACGCAGTCACAAGGTAATACACAACCTGGAAATCAACGGAGGTATTGACTTTGTAGATGGTAAAAACATGTGTATCATCTATATATATATATGACATGTAGATACATTTATGTAGATAAATGACCTCCAGACATTATAGGAATACCTTCAAAGAGACTAACAATGGATATTGATTTATTTATTCTTTAATATTTGATTTATGATGTTGTTTACTGGTGGTTTAAAACACCGAATGCAAAACAAAAAATGAACAGCCTTGTCTCCTGAAAAATATGTGAGGGAACCACGTTTAATTGCAGATTACATTTGTTTTTGTCGTATGACAAATATGTTTCCAATGTTCTGGAGGGAAGGAGGTCTGGGTTGATTGGTGAAACAAACCCAACAAACCCAAGACATTCATCCAGTAGACCGCTGTGTGTCACCTATGTGAAACCAAACCAGTTGACACTAGATTATTTTAATTCACGTACGGGAAAAAACTTAACAAACATACTATTTATTTTAAGAAAACCATAATCTATTATTAAGTCTCACCAATTTATGTGTTGCCTCATTGGTATTGTTTTCTTTTGGGCATGTTTCCATGTAAAATGTTAACCAAAGGTTTCAAAATGCACGGTTATTCATTATGAAATAGATATGATAGTATTTTTGTAGGTGACAGGGTTGAACTGAGAGGGTTCATGATTGTGCTGGTGGGACACCGAAAACATTTGGAATTGCCCTCTTTGGAATATGATTACACAACATTTTCTGTAGAAAAGGGTCAATCAAGGGGCAAATACCAATTTAGATTAGCTCAAGGCTAAAGAGTAGCTTAATGCCTTGCTCTCAACAAAATAAGATCTTTCTGTGGGCCTGCACTAATCCATAGGGTTTTATGAAATAGGCTCATTGCTTATTTATCCTATTCCAAAACAAAATGTTTAGACATGTATACAATTCAAGTATTGGTAATCATTAAAAACAATAAAATACCTAAAAGTCATGACTATGTTCCTTTAATTGTTCCCTATGTCATGTAAATCAGCCCAAATGTACCGACGACTACACAAAAAGGTGGGACTTTACTTTTGTGACATATGGCTGGCTGTATGTTATTGCTTCATGTGATGAATAAGCTAAGGCAGGTTTTGTTTGGCTCCTCCCACTGATGCGGAACTTCATCGATGCCCTTCACATGGCTTAAAAAACATTGGACTCTACACATCGGTTAAGCTGTGTGTCCCAGAAGAAAAACAGGACCAATCTCCCTCACCACTGTATGTTGTAATTAAGCCCACAGCTGGCAGTTCCCATTACGCCATCAGGGCGAGCAGGCAGACCTGGTTATGGGACAACAGGCCCTCCTCCTCAGCTCACCTCCCGCCTGCCGCTTTTTTCCTCTCCTCAGCACCTGTACATTGTAAAGAAGCCCAAACAGCCCTGCAGCTAACAGTCTGATGGCGGGGAGAGTGTTTGTTGTGAAACACTTTGGTGTAACACATCATCTCCCCCCGCCTCGGCGTACATTTCCACATTCCTGCCAACTGTTCTAGCTCGGGCCAGGTGGGGAATATGTCTACACGTGGTTTTAGGTTCAGTAAAATTCACACCAACCCTTTTATATCTGACAGGAAACTGCATGGAAATGTGGCATAATGGAGAACAGGCTAGTGGTGCGACAATTGCTGCGGGGCGACAAAAGCTGAGGGCGACGGGTTTCATCACATCTGCCCCACCTCCCCTCCCCTAACTCACTCACTTCCACCTCCCTCCCAGGACAAAACGTTATGTTCCAGCAAGAATTTTAATGTCGTGCCGCTCTGAGTTTGCCCACACCACACCAAACGCGGCCCAGTCCCCGAAGGCCCGCTCTCTCCTGGCCAAGATCAGCTGTCTGACCGCAGAGCAGCCTGCTGTAAACACTAGCCAGATTACCACACTGACAACACACACACACACACGCACACATGCAACTCTGCAGGAACGATCACGCTGACAAACTTACAAGCTAGCATTGTCAACAAAACAATTTGCTTCCAGCTGCACAGCATATTGATTTAGATGGAGGCAGTTAGAACGATTACAACTGGATCGAATAAAAACAAGACATTAGCAATGAAATCCATTTCAGACTGTGGGAGTCTTATGTAACATTAAGGAGAGAAAAAATAAACTAAACTAAGGTAATAATGTGCATATTACATTTATTTCCCTTTCCTGCAGGTGCTACAAAAGCCAGATTAAAGATAATCCTAAAAACTATAACCAACCTAAACACACGGCACCGGGGTCACAGTTGTTATTGTTCTGAGTGGCGCTGTCAAACATTAAAATGGCCGTGAATTTTTGTGGCTCCTTCTCCCTTTGTCCATGTGTGTTTATGCAAGAGTTTCTGTCAAAACACGGAGAAAATAAGATAAATGTGGTTAATTAAAAGAACATTTATTTGGTAGTCGCTGTAATAGATACCTCATTGTTGGGTCCGGGGGCAAAGCTAAACCCTTTAACCCATCACAACCGCTGCAAAAATTGAATTTGACTCCAGCAGAGGTCTTCGACTTTTCCTCTTGTATGTTACTTATAACTGCCACACACACACACACACACAAACAAACAAATGCATACATACACATACTGTGGCCGATGGGAAAAAACAGTTTTGTTCAGTTAGTTTTGCTTCAATCGCGGAACTCAACTGGCGTTTATTTGGGACTGCTATTTCATTTCTTTTTTTAAATAAAGCTTGCTCATCAAAGATGGGAAATACTTTTGAACCAGTATGAATATTACCTACACTACCAGTCAAAAGTTTGGACATACCTTCAAATTCGAAGTTTTTTATTTATTTAAATATGTTCTACTTTGTAGATTAATACTGAAGACATCAAAACTAGTTAACAAAAAAGTGTTAAAAAATCCAGAATATGATTTTTATTTTAGACTCTTCAAAGTGGCCCCCTTTTGCCTTGATGACAGCTTTCCAAACTCTTGGCTTCTCTCAGTCAGCTTCATGAGGTCGTCACCTGGAATGGTTTTCAATGAACACGTGTGCCTTGTCAAGAGTCAATATGTGGAATGACTTCTTAATGTGTTTGAGACCATCAGTTGTGTTGTGCAGAGGTACTGTAGGGTTAGTGCACAGTGGAAAGACCTATTTGACTACTGTTGTAATCCATATTATGGCAAGAACCACTCAACTCAGTGAAGAGAAACGACCGTCCATCATCACTTTAAGAAATGAAGGCCAGTCGATCCGGAAAATGTCATGAACTTTGAATTTATCCTCAAGTGCAGTCGCAAAAACCATCGAATGCTATGGTGAGACTGGCTCTCATGAGGACCCCCCCGGGAAAGGAAGACCAAGAGTTAGCTCTGCTGCAGAGGATAAATACACACGAGTTACCAGCCTCAGAAACCGCAAGTTAAAGCACCTCAGTCCACTGTTCAGAGGAGACTGCGTGAATCAGGCCTTCATGGTCCAACTGCTGCAAAGATCCACTACTGAGGATGGACAACAAGAAGAAGAGATTGTTTTGGGCCAAGAAACACAAGGATTGGACATTAGACACAGGAAATCTGTACTTTGGTCTGATGAGTCCAAATTTAAGATTTTTGGTTCCAACCTCTGTGTATTTGTGAGACACAGAGAAAGTGAGCGGAAGGTTTCTGCATGTGTGGTTCCCACCGTGAAGCATGGAGGAGGAAGTGTGAGGTTGTGGCCGTGTGGGGGGGCTTTGCTTGTGACTCTGTTGGGGATGTATTAAAAATTCAAGGCACACTTAACCAGCATGGCTACCACAGCATTCTGCAGTAGTAGCCAGCAAAACATAAATCATAATCTTGATTATTTTTAACACTTATTTTTTTTACTAGATAATTCCATATATTCTTTTATCATTTTGATTTCTTCAATATAAATCTACAATTTAGAAACAATTAAAATAAATTAAAAAACTTCGAATGAGAAGCTGTGTCCAAACCTTTGACTGGTAGTGTAGGCTATGTGTTTTGTAAAAAAATTCCAATATACAATATGTAATAAAACACAAAATATATGCGTGTGCATTTATATATTATACACATGTTGTGAAAGTATTGTTTAACGTTCATATCGCCGTAAACCACTCTCAGAGGCGGGTTAGAAAGGGACTCAGCGCCCCCCGGTGCGTAAACAGAGAACTGCACTCGGTTTGCGAAGAGGAAGGACGTGGACAAAGTTGCAGGAGAAGTTGTGGAGATCAGAAATGGAAGCGCAGGAGGAATTCTTTGCGGGTAAATCATATTATTTCAAGTGCTGTTTACAAAGTTTGCAGTGTGTGTACGTTAGCGTGTGTATTGTGGACATAAAGTGTCCGGAATGTTGCACTGCAGGCAGCTGCTCGCACACAGAAGGGCCTTGTTATTCAAAGAGCAGTCCACATGATTCACCCAAACACATGTCTGTGTGCAGCAGGGAGTCTGTACCTGTGTCTGTTAGTTAGCCTGCATGCTCTCAGTGAATCCATACGTGTCCGCACTACTGTTCACTTTCACATGACTAGATGCATGCGCTGCTTTTATTGAGTATTGCCCAACATTTACGGTGCTCACAGGCATTCCCAAGATCCCCTACTCACCCAGTGCTGGGCCTGCGCACGCGCACGCGCACACACACACACACACACACACACACACACACACACACACACACACACACACACACACACAGCAGAGCTTTTGAAAGTCAAGATATTTTCATGTGTTTTTGTAACGCAATCCGGGATAAATATCCCTTATTGCTGTATTATTCCTTACTAAGATACATACATGACAATATGAAGGTTGTGTGTAGGTAATATTTGAACACAGTGTTACAGTATGTGAGGCTGCAGGTTATTGGTCAATGTTTGTCTGTGCAGGTGCTGATGGGGAGGAAGATGGAGGACTGGCTGAGATTCTCCGTCTGCTACTGGCACTCCTTCTGTGGCACAGGTAATCTAACACCTGGCCCAACACTCACGAGTTCAGGCATTACTAATAGCCTCTTTGAAACACATGAAAACATGCTATTAGTAGTGACATCTTTTTAGAATCAAATACAAAAATACATTTATAATTGAGGCCAACAGAAATAATCCTTTTCTTTGCATGTCTTTTTCTTGGAGCGGATCCCTTTGGGGCCCCGACCCTCCACCGGCCCTGGAATAAAGGAACTCCGATGGAGTCAGCCAAGAAGCGACTCCGAGCTGCTTTTGAGTTTTTCACCAAGCTTGGTGTAAGGGGAAAATCACCTCAATTTCACATAGAAAATCAGTTACACACAGTTGATTATACATTATAGTGCTCAACATTTTTCCTCTGTGACCTGTGAGTCTTTTTACAGGTGAAATACTACACATTTCATGACAGGTAATTAACCTTTTTAATTTTCTTTATAATCGACTTATCTTTGTATTTTCTTTAAATTATATTTAACTTCCTGTAGTATACTTGTAGGTTGAAATTGGTTTAAATACACTAGATTAACTTAGTTAAAGCCCCAGCCTTAAAATGGCCCTAACAAAATTCCACCACTGACCCAAATAGAACACAAAAGACACCTTTAAAATCAGCAAATCCATAGGATTTATCATAATCAACATGTAACATGTTCAACTACACATCCTAGGATTAGAGGCAGAAACACAGCAGTCCCCACACCAGAGGCCTCCCCCTCTTCTGCTGCGGCACTGGAGCTTTTAAGGACTTCCTTCTCCAGGTGCACCTCGTCTGAACCTCGTTACATTATGCATCACACCTGAGGAACCAAAGGGAAAAAGAAACAGGGGTTGCGTTCCAAAAATCAGCTCCTAAATTCTAACCCTATCTCCTATTCCTTGACCTCTGAGTGAAACGTCACGGGGTTAAGGGATAGTGGATAGGAGAATTCAAAAGGACTTAGGAGAAGAGACTGCGGAACTTTAGAGAATCCGAATGCACTTTCACTATCTGACGTGTTTATGATGCGCCAGCGGACGTCATTGTGTGCGTCTGCTGCTGTGGGGAAACTATAGAAACTACAGTGTTCTAAACTATACTATACAACGGACTACAACATGGATGTTTAATAAGAACGAGGGACTCATCTAGAGACTCTGCACCGTGATCTGATGCTGTTGTTTTATGCTTTATGAACGTGGACAACAGAGAAACATATTCTTCATGACCAAAGTTGTAACATTAATACAAATGATCCCAATACGTATGATTGTATGAAAATATCTTAAAATCAATACAAATGTATTTATTATAAACGTTAGTCCTTAACATCTATCACTGTGTACATCACCATTCAAACATCTTTTAAAAGTTGA